TTTTCATACCCCCCCCGGGGGGGGGGGGGGGGAGGGGGTTTCTCGTCAGTCGTCAAAACGGGCATAAAAGGTCAAGACTTTACAACTGAGGTTGGAGATTCAGTCCTTCCTGAGCAGCTAATCCGTGTTTTCAGTCTCATCAGACGGAATCCTCAAGTCTATGTTCATTGGTCACCGAAAACGGGCAAAGAGATCTACTGACCTTTCACTCGAGTTTTTTTTTCTCGTCAGTCATCAAAAGAGGTAAAAAGGTCAGGGCTTTACAACTGGGGTTGGATCGTTGGAGATTCAGTCCATCTATTTGTACCCATTTGGTTGAAGGAACAAAAGTCTAAAGTTTGCTTAGTTGAAGTTCCCTCCAGTTTCGTTTCATGCTAATCCATATGAACAAAAAAGGTAATGATCGATACTTTGCTTCGGCAAAAAAAAAATTCAAGTCGGGATTCTTAGGAGTGATGGAGTTGAGGCTTACCCATTCGACGAGACAACCCTTGTCTTTGCAATAAGGAGGTCTTCCACTGACAATTTCCAATAAAAGGACACCGAACGCGTAGATATTCCCCTGTAAATCCAGATGCCTACGCTCCATCGCATTCGGTAGCACGCACATAGCACCCTGGCTGCTAATATTTCTTGAGTTCTTCTCTGATCTCGCAAGTATTGTCTTCCAGCACTCGAAATCAAGCAGCTGCAGCAGAAGCCGCCAATACAATTTTGAGTACTTAGAGACCATCCTAGAGGATGTTGGGTAATGTCCTGTTCTGTCCAGAATATACCTTTGGGGTAAAATCTTCTGTGAGATATACTGCGCTTGAATTCAACTCAGATATTGTGAATGGAGGATCAAGTTCTGTATGAAGGTACTTGAGACCACGAGCAATGCCTAAGACGATTTTCATTCGTCTGGCCCATGATAACAAGGATGCTTCTCCATCTGCAAAAAAAATTCATCATATGGGTATAAATTATCATCAGCAAACTATACTCATCAAGACAACCAGCTCAAAGGAAGTTCGGTTATTACAGTGAAGGTGCTCGTATAGTGTTCCATTTGACGCGTATTCGAAAACAAGCATCCTTGTAAATTGCGCTCTCTCTTTGCAGTATCCCAGTAATTTTCCTGCATTCTCGTGGTTGAGTCTAGCCAAATCTGCAACCTGAAACAATAAATGACCAAGAAAGCTCAGGGCGCAAGGATTTTTACTTCATGCTCTTTGCTAAGACATCGAAAAACACCTCTCTCTGGAAATAAAGCTCGAGGTAACCAGTCCAATCTTCTTCTTTGATGCAAAGAGATATCACAGCAATCTCCGGCCCTCCTTTGATATTTCCTTTGTAGACCAGACTATCTGCAGAAGAACCAATTATATTGCTGAAATCCTCGCATGCCACTTCAAGCTCTTGTCTTGTGAATCTTGTGACACCCTTCAACATTTCAGAATCTGCAATAAAATGGAAGTTTGTTTTCTCCATCTTAGAGTGCTTCGAGGTTGCAAGGGTTTTGAACAGAGAGCAGAAAATTAGGAAAAATCCTGACCTATGTATGCTCTGAACTTGTCCTTTTCACTTCCTGATTTCTTCCAGGGAATGATGAGGGAGGACCTGTTGTTGCACCTGTGAACTGCAGAGAGAACCCCAACAAGGAGGAAGATACCGACCATCGTTCCTGTGACTATCTCTAGAGACAGAAGCCATGTGGGTTTTGATGCTCTATGATGCTTTGACACTGTTTCAGCTGGTCGGTGCTTAGGGTCGAGGCTTGGACTTTTACGAGCTTTAACCAGTGGAACACCACCGCCTGCAATATGGAAACCAAAGAAAATGAAGGAAACTTTTAAATATCATTACAAAATACATAAACAGAGATTTGTGTGTTGATGAAATGAAACTCATATTTTTTTTACCACATTGAGTAGGAGGCCGCTGTTTAGGATCTTTGTCTTGCAAGCAGTTCCCTTGGAAGCTCGTTCTAGGATGATTCCAGCAACAAATAAGATATTACCAGAGAAATGAAGAGGAAAACAAGTAGGTCTTATAAGGATAATACATTGGAAGGTACTGCAGGCACTTAGGAATGCTTCCCACGAAGAAATTGTAGGAAAAGTCAGCCACTTTTAGTAGAGGTGACTTGCACAGTCCGATTGTATTCGTGCTTGAAGCAAACCTGATTGATCAACAAACCAGCAATCGATCAACATCTCCATAATTTGATGATAATTGTTCAGTTAAACTTACATTCTCGATGGGTATTCTGATTGTTCAGTAACCGGAAGACTTCCTTGAAGCCTGTTCCTGTCTAGATGAAGTTCCTTAAGGTACCTCAAGTTACCGAGCTCTGGAGGCAACTTTCCCGTCAAACCATTAGACTGAAGGTTTCTGAAACATGAAACCAAATGGTAATCCTGGCTCAGCATCTGAGGAGAGACAAGAACTTTGACATAAAGACATCATTTGGTTACAAAAAGGTTGATTCTTTATTACATTATCATAATACTGGACAAATTCCCAAGCTCTGCTGGGATCGGTCCTGTTAACAGATTGTTTCCCAAGTCCAAGACCTTGAGATTCTTCAGCTTTCCTATCTCCTTTGGTATCGTCCCCATCAGAACGTTCCCGTGCAGAATCCTACAGAAGCATTCAACACCATCTCAGATTCCATAAAAACATTTGAATCAAACTACATGTTTTCAGTTTCAAGAGAACGAAACCCCACAGTTCTTGCAAGTATGTAATTTGACTGAGTTCCGGAGCAAGAAACCCTTTAACTGATGAAGCTGATATGTTTCTGCAGCACACAAGAGAAGATCCACAAAAAATGAAACGAATGCAGATGAGAGATGATCACCTGAAACTTCAGTCCCAATTGTGATGAAAGAGCAGCAACTTGAAAGATTGCCAAATCGAAAGGTGGAGGATTCTTACATCTTGATGACATGATCATGAAATGGAGAGCAAGAAATGCCGGTCCAATCGCAGGGGCTCGAGTTCGGGGCATTCCAATTGGTGGTAACTAGTAAAGGATCCTGATAAATGGATTCCTTGAAGCTTTTAAGAGCTTCAACTGATCCAACAGAAACAATCAGAAATCTTATCTGTTAAGATCAATAACTTCACAGATTTTACTGATTTCCACAAAGATCAGTTGATGTTTCAGGTCTAATTACACTACTTCACGCTTTGTGGGTAGGTGATGGAAACCAAAGTTGCTGGATTTTCTAGCATTTTCCTTCATTTTCTCGGCTACCAAACAGGCCAACCTAACTAAAACAAAGAAACAGAGATCCGGGCAAAACAGAAAAAGGCATACCTTCATCAGAGGGAAACGAATCACAGGAAAGGAGGAAGAAACCAAGAACAAGAGACAGCTGGAGAACAGAAGAACAGCAAGATCCCATTTTCCTACCAAGGTTCCCTCAAATTCACCTCATTAAAGGGGGAAAACCCCAAGATTTTCTCACCAAACAAACACTCCGACAACCAATAACCGCCGGAAAAGAAAAATCTGAAGGGAACGAGGATTTCTCTACAAAATGGGATCTTTCGGAGCTCAAGAACAAAGAGCAAGACTAGGAGAAAGAAAAATGAATCGGAAGAACAGAAAGTAAATGCTGAGATTACACTCAAATGGACAGCAACCTGGGATTTATCAACAACCCGTCGAAGCAAACTCGCTCATTGAAAAAGAAAAGGGAATAGTGTGAGTAGTAGTACTTCGTAGCAATGGCGAACAAGCAGAGGGGAGAGAGAGAGAGAGACTTGGATTCAAAGACAGGTTTTTGCTTCCTTTTCTTTTCCTAAATGAAATATAAAGGGAGGAGGAATGTCGTCTTCTCCTTTTTCTTGCTTTTTCTTTATTTTTTTTAGATTTCAGTCAAATTATACAAATGAACTTCTGTGTATATATACACACTTTTTTAGAATTCTTCACGAGAAAGAAAGCATGTATAATGCAGCTTATATATATATATGTGTGTGTGTGTACCAACAAAAAAATTCTAAGTAATTTCAACTCATTTACTATTGTTTCTTTCTTTTTTTTTGTGTTTTTTGCTAGTTTCATCAAAATAGGGTAAGAAATCTAAAAACAGGAATTAGGCACGAATAAAAGGTAATTATAAATGATTATCCCCATTCGAATCCTTTTTATAGATAACGAATTCAGTATAATAAAAATAAGTCAGACAATTTGCATTTAAAAATGGCAAAAAAAGTGAAGGTATTATGGAAATTCTTATTATATATTATAATAATACTGATGCTAATGATTGTCTTAATTGCGCGTTTGACCCCGTACCATCTCGCTGTACGAGAAATTGAAGGTGTTACTTTGCTGCTCTGTTGATGACCACACGATAATGCCGTGGACCACAACCCACCGCCATTGATATATTCCGATCCGACGGTTCCCAAAACGTGACCGGATTTCCTTTTCTTGTCTTTTACTTTCTTTTTTCGTCCTAAAAGACAGATTTACTGTATATAAGAGTGTTTTCAGGTACTTAATTTTTTTTTTTACTGGTTTTTGAATAAAACCTTTGACTCTAAAAAAAATGAAATTCATTTTCCAAAATTGATTAATTTATAATCGTAACTCTTTGAAACGAATATTATCCAAAATATACTTTTTTTTACTAAAACTAATTTTATACTTACCTTCTCGAAATGTAACTATTTGAACAAAATTGCATTATAAACAAATGTTAGTAAGTTATAATATTAAATTTATACTTATTATATCAAATCACAATAGTTACACGTTACATATTATACTAATAATTTGATAAAATTATTATAAATTTAATGTTATAATAAATATTAATTAGTATCATTTGATAATACTTTCGTTGCTATTAATGGTCATATTTAGATGAAGATATATGTAGTAGTTTTAGTAAAATAAAGGTATTTTGGATAAAATTTTTAAAAAATAGGATGTGATGGAAAATCTATTTAGATTTGTTACTAAATAAATACTAGACACAACATCATTGTTGGCAGGTGAAGTAGATTTTGTGATAAATATAATAGATTTTTGTAATAAAAAAATGTAATCAAATAGTTTTGCCACGTAATAAATTTGTAATCCTATACCCTTTGTAAATAAATATATGTATCGACACCGAAAATTACGCCATCAATCTTACCACTTGTATTGTCTGGTTTCCTGAAGCTGTCCCGAGGTACTCGTTCCTTCTTTGGCAGGTGATGATGCAGCGCTTGCCAACGAGAGATCGGTTGCATAGGTAACAAATCCAAACCGATACAATATGCGTTCTGTGCGGCGCCGAGGAAGAGACACACCAACATCTCTTCTTCGGTTGCTGCTACAGCCGCGATATATGGGAGCACTTCGGCGCATGCTGCTGGGACTCTCCGCCGGATAACCTTGGCGACACATTGAGCTGGATCACTCGGGCAAGGCAAGATGATGGCAAGAACAGATCGACATTGGCGAGGCTGCTACTGCAGGTTGTTGTCTACGTAATATGGACTGAGCGCAACGACAGAATTTTCCGGAACGAGACGAAGACGGCTGAAACACTACGAAAGAAGCTGGACAGTTTTATGAGATCAATATTACTTGCAGGAAAGGTGAGGAAGAACAAAATGAGCAGTGTCCTTTTGGAACACTGGTATTTTTTGACTGAAGGCATTCGCAGGCGCTAATACAATAGACTCAAAGGAGGAAGTTTAACTGACGTAAGGAAATGAGTTTACCACTTGCACATGGAATTTCTGATTAGTTTGGACTGTTTTTGTATTTTACAAACATTACAGCATTACTACCACCAAATCACATTTTACCAAAAAAAAAAAATCTTACCACTTGTGTTTAGAGCGCGTAAATTTACACGCGCACAAAACTATGAAATTGTGATTGTTCATAGACGTTATTAACAATTAAACGAAAACAATTTATGATTTTTTCATTATATATATATATTACTGAAAACCCAAATTTTTTTTAATAACCATGGTGGTTCTCCGGATTTTCGATCCGACTACATCTACTTTAGGTCCGGAATCAGCCTTTGTATGGACCATTTTTTATCCAGAAATTACATCTCTCTCCACCAGTAGAATCAAACTCAAGACTTTGAGGATGACTTTGTCACCTCTCAACCATTTTTTGTTTGGAGATTTTAGTATTTCATGGTTTCCAACTAGTTTATCGAATTCAAATCGACCGGTTTAGTTCAAATTTTAATTTTTAAAACTGGTATAAATGATATGGTACGTGATATGGATGATGATTTGGATTTTTGATGTCAAATTATCATTTTTTTTCTAGATTCCGTCACATATTTAATAACGACGGAATTTGATTGATTTGAAATTTTTTTGAGAGTTTAGGTATTTTTATAGAATTTTTGAAAAGTTTATATATTTATTTGGAAGTTTTATAGTTTAGGTATTTATATGAGAATTTTGTATGTATTTATATGTTATTTTTCTATTTAATAATAATAATTTTCTGTATTAATACTATAGAGATGTATAAACACAAATTCATGGGATATTCTATGCCAATGAAGAGAATGATATTGCAGAATTGTACTGTTCGTAAATTTTACATGATCGATTGAGCGATAATAATAGATTAATTAGAGAGAAATCATCCAGTATATAAATGAAGCCCCTACATGAACGCTTCCCGGCACAATATTAAGCCCCGACGGAAATTCACAAGGACCCTCATGATGATGCGAAATTTGCAATGATCTTGTCCGTTAGTTTCCTTTTAGTCTGCCACGTGTCGCAACACGTGTTTTTAAAATGCAAATTGAAAAAACGATTACGAAATGGAACCAATAAATAATTAAATAAAAATATAACGGAGATTAAAAATTATACTACCGGATAAAATTTATACCACATTTGACCAAAATATCTGACCGGTGGCCAATCAACACATGCGCAATTGAAATACTTGTTAAAGAATACATAATATATATATATATATATATTTATGTATGTATGTCTGTATGTATGTATATTACGTTTCAAACTTATATTTGGTAACTTTCTTTTCTTAGTGTATACTATATACATACATACATAATACGTACACATGACACACATGTGTATACACCAAGACGCAGAGCCGTCTATTAGCATGTTCAAAAGGTGCGATGGAACAGGGCACCCAAAATTTATGGGTCCCTTATTAATTATTATTTATTAATTATTAATTATTAATAATAGAAAATAATTAAAATTAATTATAAACTGTAACAACTTTTGTTATTATTAATTATCTTTATTATTATTAAATATTTATTTTTAATAGCTAAAACCAATAGTTAAAACCAAAATATATTATAATTGTTATAAAAAAATATTTATTAGAACTGATTGTTTCTATAAAATATATTAAAAACATTTATTAAAACTAATTAAAATATATTATAGCAATTCATTGGTATATTATTTTATTTAAAATTATTATTTTTAAATTTATTAATTTATATAAATTTAAAATATGTACAGGGTCCCAAAAATTTATGAGACGGCCCTGCCAAGACGCATGATTATTGTTTGTACATATTAAATTTTAACAATTTTATACATAATTCCACAATATTTATAAAATATTGCCTCGTTTTTTTTTGTCGTATAATATTACAATATGTTTTTCCTCCATAGTATTTATACATATGCCTTTTCTAGTTGTATTTGGTTCTTTGATGAATTACCACTTACCATGGGAATCCCTTACGCATTTTGTATATAATCTATGATTGTATAGTAAACATATATTTTTTTTGGAAAATTAATTATTAGGGTGTAAAATGGGCGGGCCGACCCGGGTTCAATTCAGGCCTAGAATTTTTCGGCCTGCCCATTTATTTTTCTGACCTAGAATCGATGGTCTAGAGTCCAGTCCTATAGGATTTCGGATGGATTCGGGCCGGACTTCGGGTTTATAATCAAATAAAAATATATTTTTTCTATGATGATGATGATGATGATGATGATGATGATGATGATGATGATGATGATAATAATAATAACAATAATAATAACAATAATAATAATAATAATAATAATAATAATAATAATAATAATGTGAAACATTAAAAAAAAGTAAACATAGTATACAAAAACATTATATGATGTAATTAATTTGAAACCAGTAGAAAAAGAATCAATATGTTCATATGCAAACGAAGGTTTAAAAATATATATATTTAAAAGTTTTTACACTTTCAAAAATATAAATTGATATATATATATATATATATATATATATGATGTAATATGATTACAAAAATAAAAGCTTCTGTCATTTTTAAAATTGTTAATTGGAAGCAAGATAAAACTTCGTCATTTGGTTCAAAGACACACATATATATATATATATATATAATCCAATCTATTAGTACGAAACAAAACCAATTCAGAGTGAGAAGAAAAATATAAAACAAATAAAACATAATCAAATAGCAAAAATTAGGTTTGATTTAATAGAAAAAATAATACAAAAGAAGATTATCTAATATATGATGTAATATGGTTAAAAAAAAGTTAGGAAGATAAAACTTTGGTTTAGAAAAAAAAAGTTTAAAAATTTAAAAAAAAATGGGCCTCAAGCCCGGCCTGCCTGGTCCGCAACCCATTTAGCCCGAGGCCCCGAAGCCCGAAATTTAATGAGCTTATATTTTTTAGGCCCACGTCCTTATTATTTTTGGACGAGTTCGGGTCGGGTTTCGGGCTCCGAACTTAATTGACATCCCTAGAAATTATTACGATACACTATCACAACTACCATATTTTGTT